CTGCCTGACCGCCTATCTGGCATCCTCTCCCTGCTGCCTGCTCTCCTGAACATCCCCCTGCCACGGATGGATGCCTGTCGAGCCTGGCCTCTGCCTCTGTATATATATCCTCTGCCAAGGCCATCGACCATCCTGCCCCTCCCCCAACCACCATCCATCCTGCCACGTCCTCCGCCACCATCCCTCGGCCACCATCCATCCTGCCCATCCCTCGGCCACCATCCATCCTGCCCATCCCCCGGCCACCATCCATCCTGCCCATCCCCCGGCCACGGCCCATTCCCCAGCCACGGCCATCCCCCTGCCCTCTGCCACGGCCATCATCCAGTCTTCCTTGGCCCCTTCCTCTGCTTACTGGTCCCTTGCCTCTGTCTTCATGCATAAACGGCCCTTTCCCTCTGCTTTCTGGTCCAGGTAGACCCTGGGTGCTATCTGAAGCAATTAACTGGCTGTCTGGTGAATCCAAATCCTGATTTCCTGTTACAGGAGTTACCGCACCACCTGTTCTTGCAATACCTGACTGCAAAGCTACAGGGTTACTAGAAAGAGATGTTGATTTCTGGTTCTGAATAGGCGGAGTGGGTGCTTTGGACTCTTCTACTTGCTGGTTAGGATCATGTGAACTCCATGTCCACTTTTTAGGAGGGTCTGAAATAGTTTCTTTGACTTCAGGTTTGGATGGCTCCTGTTGAGTGTTTGTCAGGTCCTCATTTGGCTCAACGGGACCTGCACTCTGTGCATCAGGAGTAGACTGTGTTCTGCTTACAGCCTGCTGATTGCCAGCTACGTCTGTAAAAGCTTCTTTGTTTTCTGACTGCGAGTCTGTCTGTGACTGCTGCTGCTGTCCCAAATGAGGCCTGGGTCCCCTCCACCGTGGGCCACCAGGTCGAGAACCATGTCCATGTGATGCATTTGTTGAAGTATAAAATTGTGCTGCTGGTCCTCGTGGGATAGTCCCCCATCTACTTGAAGACTGTCCATCTGTATTCTGTCGGTCAAAACGTGACCTGTATCCTTCCGAGCGCTGAGAGTCAAAACGAGGCCCTCTCTGTCTTGAAGCTTCAAATTTGTCATATCCTCTTCCGCGAGGTCCATCAAACCTACGGATGACAAAATGGAAATTTTATTCAAATGAACATCAAATTAAAATCCTCTAAAAGAGTTTCATCCCCCCCAAAAGTCACTTCTAACTGATGAATCCTAGTGTGCCTTAGGATCAATCCCTACTGAACCAGTGCAGAAGCAGACACACATGTTCTTCCATTCAATGTTGTCCACTGAAGACCAGTTTAAGCCACTTGCAGATGAAGTAATCTTAAAAAGGAATCTGGCTTAAAAACCTCAGGACTGAAACCTGATTGACAAAGAAAGCTGGCAAACTCATTTGAAAAAAAGCTTTCAACTTTTGTTTAATGAAAGTTTTGTTGCAATCAACAACTCTTGTTGAATTTTTGTTTTGATAGTATGCGAGAAGCCTACTGCAACAAATGATGAATGCCATTTAGAAAAATCTTTAAATACGCAACCTTTCAGAAAGTGCAACAAACTGTGACACCACCCAGTTCCATGCAAAATAATATGCCTGAAACAAATATATTTTTATTGCATCGCTTTTTAATTCCTTCTAAGAGCACCTACAACTGCTGCTGTTCGAATAGGAGGAAATAGGTCAGGCAAACTAATGAAGAATAATTCATGCAATCATATTTAGCAAGGTTGATCTAGTGAAAAATACAATCTTTAAGCATATGCTCAAATACTGATTTACATAATTGACTAGAACAAATCAAATTAATTTTACACAAAATGGAGAACTCATGTCTGAAATCAAGTTGCTTGGACATTTGGGATTTACAGTTGTGTCTCAGTGGATGGGGTCAGGAAGGCCAAAGCACAGCTGGAGCTGAACTTGGCAAGGGACAGAAAGAGTAGTAAGAAGGGCTTCTGTAAGTATGTCAGCCAGAAAAGGAAGGTCAAAGAAAGCATACTCCCCCGATGAACACGACTGGCAAACTGTTAACAACGGATGAGGAGAAGGCTGAGCTACTCAACAACTTTTTTGCCTCAGATTTCACCGGCAACCTCTCTTCCCACACCTCTTGAGTGGATGGACCACAAGACAGGGACTGGGGGAGCAAAGTCCCTCTCACCTTAAGAGAAGATCAGGGGTTCGTGACCACCAGAGGAACCTGAACATATACAAGTCTATGGGACCTGACGAGATGCATCCCAGAGTCCCAAGGGAATTGGCTGATGTAGTTGCCAAGCCACTCTTCATGGCATTTGAAAAGTCATGGCAGTCAGGTGAAGTTCCTGGTGGCTGAGAAAAGTGAAACATTGGACCCATTCTTAAAAAGGGTAGAAAAGAGGGCTCTGGGAACTACCGATCTGTCAGCATCACCTCTGTGCCTGGGAAGTTCACGGAACAGACCCTCTTCGAAGCTATGCTAAGGCACATGGAGGACAGGGAGGTGACTTGAGACAGCCAACATGGCTTCACCAAGGGCAAGTCTTGCCTGATCAACCTAGTGGACTTGTGAGATGAAGTGACTGCATCGGTGGACAAAGGAAGAGCTACAGATGTCATCTATCTGGGCTTCTGCAAGGTCTTTGACACAGTCCTCCATAGGACCTTGTGGGGAATCCTTCTCTCTAAATTGGAGAGATATGGATTTGATGGATGGGACTGTTTGGTGGATGAGAAATTGACTGGATGTTCACATCCAGAGGGTAGTGGTCAACAGCTCAATGTCCAGATGAAGATCGGTGACAATCGGGGTCCCTCCAGGGTCCGTACTGGGACCAGTACTGATTAATATCTTCATCAATGACATAGTGGGATTGAGTGCACCCTCAGCAAGTTTGCACGTGACACCAAGCTGAGTGGTGCAGTTGACACACTTGAGGGACAGGATGCCATCCAGAGGGACCTGGACAAGCTCAAGAAGTGGGTCCATGTGAACCTCATGAGGTTCAACAAGGCCATGTGCGAGGTCCTGCACCTGGGTTGGGGCAACCCCCAGTAACAGTACAGGCTAGGGGATGAAGGGATTGAGAGCAGCCCTGTGGAGAAGGACTTGGGGGTACTGGTGGATGAAAAGCTGGACATGAAACAGCAACATGCGCTCACAGCCCAGAAACCCAACCATATCCTGGGCTGCATCAAAACCAGTGTGACCAGCAGGTCGAGGGAGGTGATTCTCTCCCTCTACTCTGCTCCGGTGAGACTCCCCCCTGCAGTACTGCCTTCAGCTCTGGGGTCCTCAGCACAGGAAAGACATGGACCTGTTGGAATGAGTCCAGAGGAGGGCCACAAAAATGATCAGAGGGCTGGAACACCTCTCCTATGAGGACAGGCTGAGAGAGTTGGGTTTGTTCAGCCTGGAGAAGAGAAGGGGCTGGAGAGACCTTATAGCAGCCTTCCAGTACCTAACGGGGGCTTATAAGAAAGATGGGGACAGACTTTTTAGTAAGGCCTGTTGTGATACAACAAGGGGTAAGGGCTTTAAACGAAAAGAGGGTAGATTTAGATTAGATACAAGGAAGAAATTTTTTACAATGAGGGTGGTGAAACACTGGAACAGGTTGCCCAGAGAGGTGGTAGATGCCCCAATCCCTGGAAACATCCAAGGTCAGGTTGGACTGGGCTCTGAGCAACTGGTCCAGTTGAAGATGTTCCTGCTTATCGCATCAGAGGTTGGACTAGTTGACCTTTAAAGGTCCCTTCCAACTCAAACTATTCTATGATTTTATCAATATCAATTCATTACCGTCTAGTTACCAACAGCGGTTGACTTGTTGAAGAATTCACTGTTTCAGTGAGCAATTTATCAAACAAGATCATTTATACAACTTCAAAGAATTTTAATAATCCTGGTAAGTTAACACAGTAAGCTGCCTTTTTGGGGTGTAGGGGCATGTCAAGATGAACAGGAAGAGAAAAAAGAAATTACAAAGCATGGTGGCAAGATAACTTAGATTTGAAGGATTAACTTTTACATGGAAGGTATAGCTAGAAGGTTGGATACTGTAAGACACACTTCATCCCCAAAATTCTGAAAATTAGTTTATGTCAGTTCTTTAGAATTTCTTCAGAAAAGTTAATTGCTGAAAAGACGTTAAGGGTGTGTGTGTCTTTTTATATGTCTAGTCATTACCTGGGATGGCAGCAGGTAACATGCAACACTTCTAATTTATCCCAAGTTCAGTTAAAATTTATTGAGACTCTCTTTTCTACTAACTATATTGAGAAGAAACAGTATTCAGATTTTTGGGAAATCTGTGATAAAACCCTAGAATGGTCAAGCAATCACAATACAGGAATGCACAAAAGGTTACACTGTTACTTAAATACCATAAGTATGCTCAAAATCAGAGCTCCTGTATGTGCATTCTACAAATTTTTTTATTATCCATAGCTTATCATCGCACATCACTGAGCTCTAAACCAATGCACGCAGAAGACATGCACTAGTAAATCATGAAAACAGCCTGTTCAGAACTGCACATCCAACAAATTCCCAGTACTAGAAGCAACACTTATTAAAAACCATCAGGGGGTAGAAAAATCATTCAGTTATAAAAAATACATTTACATTACTAGCAATTAATGAATTATTAATCATGAATGATCACTCTGGAAGCAAAGAGAAGGGAAATAAACATGAAGATATGATTGTAAAGTCTAGCAGAGTACGCAGGGATAGAAACAGAATTGAACAGAACACTGTTCTTCAATTCAGTAGGCATCACATCAACCCACCTTGAACTAATGACCAGACAGAACAGATGCTGGGTTTGCAACCTGATATCATCTCAAGTATGAAAGAAAAATATTCCAAAACCAAGATCTTGGATTAAACCATATAGCAGGTATAAAACCACATAAAAGACAAAGAACATTGGCTTTTAGAGTAACTTTACATTAAGATAGTAGGCCATCCATCTGATAATATGAAGATTTAAATTTGAACAAAACTGTATCTTAGCAAAAGATACAGACAGCAACCTTCGAAATCAAGACTATCATGATGTGATGCAAAAGAAAAGATGGCAAATAATCCTAATGCTAGGATCCTAAGGCTCAAATCCTCAAATCTTCATTTCTTTCCTTCTCCCTCTTGTTCAGAATTGTTTGAATACTAAGTAATGCTACATCTGTAGAAAAACACTGATTTGTACTTAAGCACCACCTCTCTTATCAAACAGCCGTTTTGAAAAGTGCACTGAATAGGACAATGATACAGCTGCAGAGCTGTCTCACACTAGAAGTTAAAGTTGAATTTTGTTATTTTTTTTCTGCAATACATGTTGGATTACAAACAAAGAGTACCTTTCATTGTTTCTAAAAAATAAATAGTATAGAATCATAGAATGGTTTGGGTTGGAAGAGACTTTAAGGATCATATAGTTCCAGCCCTGCTGCCATGGGCAGGGACACCTTCCACTAGACGAGGTTACTCAAAGCCCCATCCAACCTGGCCTTGAACACTTCCAGGGAGGGGGCATCCACCACTTCTCTGGGCAACTTGTTCCAGTGCCTCATCACCCTCATGGTGAAGAATTTCTTCCTTATATCTAATCTAAATCTTCCCTCTTCCAGTTTAAAGCCATTGCCCTTTGTTCTATCACTGCATGCCCTTGCAAAAAGTCCTTCCTCAGCCTTCTTGTGTTGAAATTGCCAGCATTAGCTACGTTAGTATATCCAACTGAACATGTCTCTGAATACTTTCCTGAATCCCCTTCTGAATGCCTACATTAAAATGCTACCATATATAGCAACACCTTAAAAACAATCAATATTTTTGCTTTAGATTTTCCTAAACCGTGTTCCAAGTACCACACAGAAAATGCTGGTAATTTACATCACTATTCATATAGGATCACTCTTTCAAGTGTGAGTTATCTTCAAACTAAGAACAGCAAAGACATATCAAATATTTATAATAGCTTTCCTGTTTTCACAAAAGGGATATTATTCATTTTCAGGGAATGAAAAGGGTGCAGTGTGCTCAAGCATTTTACTAGAAAAAAAAAAGCATTCTACTCTAGATAACGCTCAGGTGAAGGGTATCTGTCTGTCCTTGCTTTAATAACATAAATACAGAGCATGGTGTACACACATTAAAACCAAAAACTCCAACAAACAAGTACACCTCACACGACCTCAGGAAATTTTGAGAGTAAGACATATGTTTAATTTCTTAATGTATCACTGAAAGTCTTGTAGCCTGGAACATGTATAAATCAACAAAAACATCCTTACCTAGGGCCTCTGGGGCCTTCAAAACGTGCTGATCTGGGAGGATCTGGAAGCAATCCACCTGACCTCACTGGTTTATCCTGCATGGTAGGTGCATGTGTTGAAGATACTGCAGAATTGGCTTTCAGTTCCCCACATCCTTGCTCAGATGAAATAGAGACAGTTTGTTTACCAAGATGAACTTGAGACTTTCCGTGGTCTGAAGAGCCAAAGGATGAACTTACTTGAGAATGATAAGGTGAATAGACAGTTGAACTAGCTATTTTTGATGCATAGGTACCAGGGGTGGGAAGCAGAGCTGGCCTTGGTGTCTCAGTAGATTGACTGCTTTGAGAACTGGATCCTGAAGGGACAGAGGAATTAGGTAACTGAGAAACAGAAGAGAGAGGTGGGGGGATGAGCGGAGGTGTAGTTGAAGGTAAAGTTGGAGGCATAACAGGAATG